TTTAGATAATCATTGAGTCTGGCAAGAAAAAAAATATGGTATTGCACCTTCTGGGTATGCTCAGGTACCCTGCGGGGTAATGACTGGGTACCTAGAGAGACCCCAGCACTGGGCAGTACAGCTCAGGCCACCCCGGAATCCCTCCACACCCCCGGGACCCTGGTGGTCCACCTCCAGCCTCTGATGAGGACTTCTTACCCTTCTAAGCCACCCTGTAGAACAATATCTAAGAAGATCTGTCTGCCAAGATGGTCCTACAAAACACTCTGTCACAACAAGCTTTGGGGGTGCAAACCGATGTCAGCTTCCAAGTCACGGTCTCTCCCCGTCCAGATGCTCAGGATTGAGTCACACACAGTCCCCCACAGTCACTTCCCTTTCTCTAATCTTAGGTTTAGCTTACGAATGAAGCCAAAAAGAATGAGAATGGATTGAATTGGTAATTAGTTTAAATCAAAATAAATGATTTCAACTCATTAGATTATGGCAAACTGATCAAACTCTCCACAGCCTGTTGGAGAAGCTGCTCTCACTGGACTTAAGGTGCAGGAATAGGCTAAACATCCCCACCTGTGTTTGTGTTTGTCGGGAGGTGAAGTACGGCACAGTATTTGCAATTAAAAAAAGAAAAAGAAAAATCTGGCGCAGTGGCTCATGCCTGTAATCCCAGCACTTTGGGAGGCTGAGGTGGGCAGATGGTGAGGCCAAGAGATTGAGACCATACTGGCCAACATGGTGAAACCCCATCTCTATGATTAGGTGGACATGGTGGCACGTGCCTGTAGCCCCAGCTACTCACGATGCTGAAGTAGGAGAATCGCTTGAAACCAGGAGGCGAGCTGAGATCACGCCACTGCTCTCCAGCCTGGCAACAGAGCAAGGCTCCGTCTCAAAAAAAGAAGAAAAAAAAATCCTTATAAATTCTCTCGCTCTCTCTCTTTCCTTCTTTCTTTCTTTCTTTTTTTAAATGGAGTCATGCTCCGTCACCCAGGCTGGAGTACAAAGGTGCAGTATCTACTCACTGCACCCTCCACCTCCCAGGTTCAAGCGATTCTCCCGCCTCAGCCTCCTGAGTAGCTGAGATTACAACCCTGCTCCACCATGCCCGGCTAATTTTTGTATTTTTAGTAGAGACAGGGTTTCACCATGTTGGCCAGGCTGGTCTTCAATTCCTGACCTCAAGTGATCCCCCCATCTCAGCCTCCCAAAGTGCTGGGATTACAGACATGAGCCACTGCGCCTGGCCTTCGTAAATCTTTTCTTAATACCTACTGATTATTTTATATGCTCTTTGTGGACTAGGGATTTGTGACACTGAGGGGTTCAAGTGTGAGATGAGCTCTAAAGTGCTGTGAAAATCAACATCTTCATCTGGAACCTCACTTTGTGGTTTTATATCTACCAGATCTTAGTGTATCCTTGTAATTTCCTGGTTTGCCACCCTGTTACACGTAAAATGGAGATACTTTTCCTACTCACCTTATGAGGTTTTTAATCTAATCTAAAAGACCAGAACACTGTCAGTGCAGTCTGAACCAGGATCCATTCCCAGTGGGAGCAGCCAAATTCCTCGTCCAGGGCATTTGGAAGTGGCATCCTTCCTCCACGGCTCCTTCTAACTTAGCGTGTGAATGAGCATTTACAGTTGAAATGACACAACTGATGTTTGCTAAGGGGTAAGCAGAGTGCCTGACCCTGAGTAAGACCTCAGACACGTGTGGATGTTATTCGCTCTGAATCCCCAGCCCCTCACCAAGGACATGACACATTGCAAGCATTCAGTAAGTGTGAATGAATGACTTGCAAATTACTAAGCATATTTCAAGGCAGAATGAAATAAGTGCTAAGGAAGTGTACAAGTTCCATATAGTGGCAACCAACGGAAGCAGGGGATCATTGTGACTGCTGCAGCCTGGGGAAAGCCTCTGCAGGGAGGTAGAGTTTGGGGTTTTGAGCAGGAGGAGAATGGAGAATGAAGAAATGCATCTTGATCCTGGTCCTCCATTGGGAGAATGGATCCACTAATTCACTATAAAGGACCAGGATGGTACATGCATTTTTTTTTCTTTTTTAAATTTAAATTTTTTATTTTTATATTTTTTTTATTTTTTGAGATGGAGTCTGGTGCTGTTGCCCAGACTGGAGTGCAGTGGTGTGATTTTGGCTCACTGCAACCTCTGCCTCCCGGGTTCAAGCAACTCTCCTGCGTCAGCCTCCTGAGTAACTGAGGCTATAGGCGCGTGCCATCGTGCCCGGCTAATTTTTGTATTTTTAGTTGAGACAGGGTTTCACCACATTGGCCAGGCTGGTCTCAAACTTTTGACCCTGTGATCCACCCACCTCAGCCTCCCAGCATACTGGGATTACAGGCATGAGGCACTGCACCCATCCTAAAATTTTTAAAACATTTTTTGAGATGAGGTCTTGCTGTGTTGACCACACTAGTCTCAAACTCCTGGCCTCAAGCAATCCTCCCATCTCTACCTCCCAAAGTGCTAGGATTATAGGCATGAGCCACTGCACGGGCCACTGCATGCATTTCTGAATAGCCCAACAGGGCTAGAGAAGGGAGTGAGAATGGGCTGTTGTTTATGGATGGAGCCAGGTTATTAGCTGGACCAATCAACTTTAACCAACTTAAACAGCAAAGGGGAAAGATTGGCTCGTGAAAGTGCAAAGTTGAAGTATGGGTTCCAACACCAGGCCCAGCTGGATTCAGGCTTCACAGGATGCCACCAAGATCTGCTTTTCTTTTTTTTTTTAGATGGAGTCTTGCTCTGTCACCAGGCTGTAGTGCAGTGGCGCGATCTCAGCTCACTGTAACCTCTGCCTCCTGGGTTCAAGCGATTCTCGTGCCTCAGCTTCCTGAGTAGCTGGGATTACAGGCATGTACCACCATACCCAGCTAATTTTTGTATTTTTGGTAGAGATGGCATTCCACCATGTTGGCTAGTCTGGCCTCGAACTCATGACCTCATGATCTGCCTGCCTCAGCCTCCCAAAGTGCTGGGATTACAGGCATGAGCCACCAAGCCCAGCCAAGATCTGTTTTTCAATGCTGCTTCCTCTCAGTACTGATTTCATTCTCAGCCAGGTTCCCGCTGGGGTAGCAAGGTAGCCAAGGCACTTGGCAGGAGTACCTGCTCTCAGTTCAATTCCAGAGGGAAATCCAGTGTGTTTTTATCCTAGAATTCCCAGTTAAAGTGCTGAGATTCACTGCAATTGTCATATGTCTGTCCCATGGCCATGCCTGCAAGTCCTGTTCTTGGGGATTCAGGCTTAGGTCAGGACTAGTCAGGGGATCCCCTCTAAGACGAGGCACCAGAAGCACTCAGGCTGAGAGTAGGAAGAGGTGGTACCAGAGACCTGTGATCATCCAGGGAGGGAGGAAGGCAGCTGGACAGGAAAACCAACAGATCGATACTCTAAGTATTTAATTTTTACTGTCAGAGACCAGACTGTGGAGCTAAACTGCCTGGCTTCCACATCTGGCTTACCAGCTATATGGGCTGGAGCAAGGCACATAATCTCTTGGTGTCTTGGTTTCTGCATCTGTAGAATAGAAATAATAATAGTCTCTACCTCATAGAGGTTTGGAAAGAGTAAGTGAGTTTTTATTTTAATGTTCTGTTTGTTTGTTTTTTACTGAGGCAGGGTCTCACTTTGTTGCCCAGGTTGGAGTGCCGTGGTGTGGCCACGGCTCCCTGTACCTCATCCTCCTGGGCTCAGGTGATCCGCCTGCTTCAGTCTCCTGAGTAGCTGGGACTACTGGCACATACCATCATGCCCAGCTAATTTTATTTTTTGAGATGAAGCTTGGCTCTTGTTGCCCAAGTTGGAGTGCACTGGTGTGATCTCGGCTCACCGCAACCCCTGCCTCCCAGGTTCAAGCAATTCTCCTGCCTCAGCCTCCAGAGTAGCTGGGATTACAGGCATGTGCCACCATGCCTGGCTAATTTTGAATTTTTAGCAGAGACGGGGTTTCTCCATGCTGGGCAGCCTGGTCTCCAACTCCCAGCCTCAGGTGATCTGCCCACCTCGGCCTTCCGAAGTGCTGGGATTGCAGGTGTGAGCCACCACGCCTGGCCTAAATTTTTTTTTTTTTTTTTTTTTTTAGAGATGGGGTCTTGCTGTGTTGCCCAGGCTGATCTTGAACTCCCGAGCTCAAGCGATCCTCCTGCCTCAGCCTCCCAAAATGCTAGGATTATAGGCATAAACAACAGTACTCAGCCTATAAGTGAGTTTTTACAAAGCGCTTAGAATAGTGCCTAGAATTACCCGTCAAGGGCTGAATGAAGGTTATTGACTCTGGTTATTATGATAGTGAGTGGGCCTTGTTGCCCCATGGCTTTGTGTTTACTCACAGTTATTCCAGGTGTTTCTGGCCCCCACTCATCTATCACGGTGATGTGATGACTCCGCTTCTAAATCATGCTCTTCATGGTGATTCAAACCAAAGCCAGAGCAGATCCGGAACACAGGCCCATGTTGCTCCCCACCATAAAGACCGACGTGCATAACGAGGTCCTTTGAATTCACAGTTCAAGAATTGCCATGGACACCCTAGCCATTCCTGCGTTTGGCAGGACAAGGGAAGCCAGGAGGAAATCCTAGCACTTGGTGCTTCCCGTAGGGAGTTTGCAATCTAATCTCAGAGACCAGAACACTCTGTCAATGTAGTCTGAACTGGGATCCATTCCCAGGGGGAGCAGCCAAATTGCTCAGCCAGGACATTTGTAGAGCATCAGCCTCTCTCTACAGCTCCTTCTAACTCAGCATGTGAATGAGCATCTAGAGATGAAGACAGAATCGGGCTGAATCCCAATGTCTGACTCACCTGCTTCTTTCCCCTCTCCTGGGCAACACGGGGAGGAAAAGTACATCTCTTCCCCAATGTAGTACCAGCAGGGTAACCCGAGAACATCCATTTAGCACGTCTGTCCCTGCAAAAAGGACCTTCCAGTGACACCACGCTGAGCGTATCCTTACTCTATTTATAGGTGCTGTTTGTTTAATTTGAGTCCAGTGTCTAAGAATAAGTAATGAACTCATCTTGGGGACCAGCCAGAGCCTACAACTTTGAGACGACCCGTAAATCCCTTTCCCTTTCCTTCTGGTTCTGGAAGGGATTCTGTAGTTCAAAGGTGAGCCACTTTTGTTTGCTGGGCTAGGGTGGGCTTGAAACATGGACGTGTTTTGCAATTTGGCTTTATGATGATTTCTTAGTATGGTTTTGGGATCATTTTTTTTTTTTTTAGTGTTTGGTTTTGGATTGGTGATTACAGAACAGATCTGTAAACTCTTTGTCACTTACAAATGATTGGCAAAGACCAAATATCTCCATCCCTTTGCTGTCTGATCTTCAGATACAAAGAGACCTCATTGGGACTCAGATGTCCCCCATTAAGGAGGGCATGGCCTTAGAGAAGAAAACTCCATTTCTTTTTAGTTTCCTTCTGACTTGGTAGGAGAAAGTGGGATCAGGTTATCTCCGAAGGTCTGATACCATTCCTGGGATGCTGTTTTGTTATTTGCAGGCTATGTGATAAGGGCCAGGAGCCATGACCCACTTGAACTTTAAACATCTAACCCCAGGACTGGCTGTACTTGAGTCCAAAGTAGCATTGTCTCTTGCAAACAAATTCAGTTTGCACTTTAAGCTCCTTCCTTACTGGCCCTGAGGTTTAGTGACCTTGAGAACCAGCCCACTGATTCTGAAGGGAGTGACCTAAATGCAGCCTTTGGGCTTGGTTCAGTGTATTTGTATATTGGAAGTGTGTTAGTCCTTCCTGACACTGCTATGAAAAACTACCTGAGACTGGGTAATTTATTAAAGAAAATAGGTTTAATTGGCTCATGGTTCCAAAGGCTGTACATGAAGCTTGGGAGGCCTCAGGAAACTTACAATCATGACAGAAGGCGAAGAGGAAGCAGGCACACCATACATGGCTGGAGAAGGAAGAATAGAGTAAAGGGGGAAGTGCCATGTACTTTTAACCAAGCAGATCTAGTGAGAACTCACTGTCATGAGAACAGCAAAGGGGAAACCCGCCCCCGTGATCCATTCACCTGCCTCCAGACCCCTCCTCCATCATTGAGGATTACAATTCCATATGAGATTTGGGTGGGGACACACAGCCAAACCATATCGTGTAACTTCCCCTCATTTTCCCTCTCCATTAATTTATCCTTAAGAAGATAACCAGGTGGCCTGGCATGGTGGCTCATGCCTGTAATCCCATTATTTTGGGAGGCCAAGGTGGGCAGATCACCTGAGGTCTGGATTTGGAGACCACCCTGGCCAATGTGGCGAAACCTCAGCTCCACTAAAAATACAAAAATTAGCCAGGTGTGGTAGTATGCACTTGTAATTTCAGGTAGTCAGGAGGCTGAAGCATGAGAATCATTTGAACCCGGGAGGCGGAGATTGCAGCGAGCCAAGATCGCACCACTACACTCCAGCAAGATTTTTTTTTTTTTTTTTAAACAGATCACAAGGTCAGGAGTTCGAGACCAGCCTGGCCAACATGGTGAAACCCCATCTCTACTAAAAATACAAAAAAATACAAAATACAGGAAAAAAAAATTTTTGAGACAGAGCAAGACTCCGTCTCAAAAAAAAAAAAAATTAAAGAGAAGGTATCCAGGCTTCTCTGAGAAGGCAAAGAGCAGTGTCCATTCATTCATTTCTCCCAATGTCTGTGGCCCCTCTTCTCTATGCCAGATACTACTGTGAGCACAAGAGACACCCTGATGAAGGGAACAGGGTGATACAGAGGTGATAGGATCTGACCAACAGAGAAAACATTCAGCCTCTCTTCTTTCTTCCATTCATCCATTCTTCCATTCAAAAAGTATTTATGATGCATGGACTATGTGTTAGGCACAGGACTGGGTGACAAAATACAGTGGTGAGCAAAAGAGATTGCGCCTTGCCATTAAGTAGTTTGGAGCCCAATGGGGAAGATGGATATTAATGAAATAATCACCTGAATAAAGATACCATGACAAATGATGGTGAGCCCATGGTACAAAGGCCAGAGTGCCATGTGGGAGTGTAAGAGAGAAATAGACCTGGTTGGGTAAGCAGAGAGTGGATGAAGACTGAGCATACTTGAGATTCCCCCAGTGTCATGTTGTCTGTGGAGTACGGGGACAATCGATGGCTCTCTAGGAGGTGTGCTTTTCAGTTTCCATTAAAGCTGCACGGCGCCATCCACACTCTTACCTGATTGTCCTGAGGATTGTCACAGGCTGATAGATCTCGGGGAGAGTTCGCACACAAATGAGGGTTCCACCTGGGTGATCAGTATGTTAAGGTTGTGACCTTCACTTACCAGTTTGCAGTGGACAGAGTGGCAGATAAGAGGACACTTCTCATTCCACCTCACTGGGTTAAGATGCAAACAAAAGCATCATCCCATGATGTCATTTTCAGACTGCCTGTACGTGGTGGCTCTATCACCACACTCAGAGACCAGGATAGAAAGATGGCCCCACGTTCCACTCTGCAGTTTCACGCAGACGTGGGAGCATCTCAAATGTTCACATGCGATGGCTTTGCAAAGGAAATTCCTCAAAGAAACAGTTAGCATCACGTAGCATCTTTCTGTAATGTGGGGGTGACTTTGAGCCAATCCCTACAGGAGTCAGTTTTAGTTTATTTGAAAAAATATTACTATATTTTTCTCTTTTATGCCCAGCATTTTGTAGGCACCAAGTAAAAGCCAAGAAAAATATAAGAAACTGCCCTGCCCTGAAAAAGTTTACAAGGATATTCAGAAAAGAATTTTCAGCCAGACATGGTGGCTCATGCCTGTAATCTTAACACTTTGAGAGACTGAAGCAAGAGGATCACTTGAGCCCAGGGGTTCAAACCAGCCTGGGTAACACAGTGAGACCCTGTCTCTACCAAAAAAAAAAAAACTAGCTGGGCATGGTGGCACGTGCCTGTAGTCCCAGCTACTCGGG